GCCTACAGCTGCGTCAGAAAACTAAATGAAGAGGTGGTATGCCACTGAGACTAAGACCATCAGCAAAATGAGCCACAAGGATGCCTCAAACACTTACTTAAGAAATGCTTTATTGAGCGCAATGCCTCTGTTCTGGGCTGTAGGAAATTCACAGCCATTAAATTAAACATTGTCCTGTAGCCTATTACAGCAGCTAGGGGTGGAAAGCCACTCTTTTCAGCCAATCCCTCAGCACCTCTGAAAAATAGATGCTGGGAAAATGAGGCTGGATAATTGACAGCAGGTCAGTGAGCCAAGGAAACTGAAGGTGAGAGGAAGAGAAACAGAAACTGTGGCTCATTTCCCAGACTTAGGATCTGTGTGTAAACTCCTTCTAATGGAAGGTCAATTTGTCTTCTTAGTGAAACAACAGGTTGATTTACCCACACTCCAAACTGCTGTTGTGAAAAGGCAGGGGATCTCGCTGTTGTGTGAGAGGCCATGGAAGGGAAAGACAAAGCAGAGTGAAGAGGTGATGAATATGTTAACTGCAGACGATGCAGGGTGGAGGAGCCACGGCTTAGAGGCAGTAAAATCCTCACATTAACCGATTGATATGGATTTTCCCGAGCTTTAGAAAGAGGATCTACTCCAGATTTTGTTAAACCGATGCAAAGGAGCTGATGTCTAGGCCAATGTGTCTGTCCGATGCAATAGTAATAGTAATATGTGTGTGTGAGTGATTGCGCGGGTTAGCGTGTGTGTGTGTGTGTGTGTGTGTGTGTGTGTGTGTGTGCATACGTGCCAGTTTGAGTGAGCACAGAGGCAGGCAATAGCAGCCGCTGCCACTTGACGTTCAAAGAGAGGAGATCAAAGGACAGCCCCTTACTTCGGTCGCCTTCCTCAGGATTAAAAAGATCATCAATAATAATGGGCTGGAGCAGCGCAGTGGGAAACCTGGAGAGGAGCATGAGTGGAAGCTGATAGGTCTCTCACCTTTGTTTGTGTGTGTGTGCGTGATATTTTGGCGTTTTGCTGCTGGAACATGTGGGAGCAGAAACCATAAGCGCAGGCTGTTTTTCTGGAACTGCTGCCTGAACCATCCTCCTAAAACATCATGCAATATTCACTACAACAATGTCTTCACTTCTCACTTTGGGCTCCCAGACGATTTCCTGTGAAATGTATGAATGTGTGTGTGTGTGTGTGTGTGTGTCTGCATGCACGCTTCTCCTGCATGGTGGAACAACAGAAAAAAAGCTGTGACTGTTTACAGCTTTTGGCAGGAAGTTGTATCATCAGTTACGTGTATTTAATATATGTGAGAGCAAAGACAGACTTTTTTTTTCAAACCAAATGTTTAACCATTATTGTATACTGTTCAAGACTTTTATAGGGGCTAGTTTTTTCTATGGGTACTACCTGTTTGCACTTTGAGCAACAACACTGCAAAGTAAAAACTATGCAATGCTGGTGTACAATGATTATGTGTCCCTGTTATGCCACATTAAAATCATGTGGGATGGGAGGTAACATTTGCCATTGCCCATTGCCGTACAACTCAAGATGGCAGTAGCCAGTCATTTTATAAATTTGTTGGGATCGCAAAACAGACTCATATTGTAATCAACAAAAACGAAATATAAAGAGAAACTACAATTCTTAAATGTATATCAAAGGTAATATTACCTGCAAAACACTATGAATGGCTATTAAAAGTGAGGGTTATTTGAATACAATGAATAACATCAGTTGTTAACGTTGAGTTAATGGTGAGTGATGGTTATATGATTGCAGTGAAAGATAAAACACACTGTGCATGGTCAATATAGCCGTATTTACATTCAATTATTGTTTGTTTGCTTTTTCAGCCACTGAAATGCATTGTTCATCACCAACACGGATATATAAGAACTTACTGAGAAAAATCTCAGTAACACTTGTTGATGTGAACACACAATCCAAATGGCTAGACAACAACACCCAATTAATAATCGTATTTGCAGTTGGTTTTATGAAATAAAGACAGTGTTTTGTTTGGATAAATAAGGACTTATTTTGCCTTTGGAACTGTTTGTTCCTTATTCAAAATAATATTCTTTTTTTACATTGGTGCCTTGTTGTGAAACAGCCTTCGTTACAGACATTGTTCTTGTTGTAGGTATTTTGATGATGTTGTTCCTGAATTTGTTTAGTTTTATGTTGCATGTTATGTGTTTTGTCTTTTAACACATTGGAACCATGTAGGAAATAAGTGTTTTCACTTTAATATGTTATCCCTTGGATTTTTTAATGTTGGCAACCCATGAATAGATCATATGATACGCGTATTAGGCCTTTCAGATAGGCAGAAGAGCAGGACCGTATTAATTAGCTTAAATTTCTATTGCATTAATTTGTGAGAATGACATCACTTTATGTCCATGTAGTTGTGGCATGAGAAAGGTACGCTGCACATGAGCTGCCTGCATTTGTGTTTTTCCTCACATGCAAAAAAACTTTACATTACAGATGAATATAAACTAACTGGCACAAAAACAAGCTTTTCAAGGGATATTAATTAAGATTTATGGGTGTTAATTAATGGGTTTCAGGCCACTTGTGATCCATGTACTGCGTGAAGAGTGTGTAAAACTAAAAAGGAAATGGTAATTACGTTAACTCCCACATGATGTGACTGGTAGTGCACATGTTAAAAAGGAGAGACAGAGAGTGGGAAAAGGTCATCAGACTGAGATATTTTCCTATCCTCCTTCCTATCTCCACCTCTTCCTCTCCTCTTCAATCACAGCCGTTTCCCCCAGGAGGAAAAAAAGGAGAGGTAGCTAATTAATTACAGTGACTGACGACTCAGTGCTGAAGATCTAAGGAGGTGATGAATTGTGCAGTAGTACAACTATGACAGTAATCTGAAGCAATACCCTACCTTCACTACCAACCATGGTGAACCGGCTCTCCACAGTGGCTCATAATATATCACTCGAACCTACTCTCCCTGTCTCCTTTGCTTGAGCCTCAGTTGCAGCTGATTCCGAGATACAGTAAGGTCAGCATCAAACGAAGGTCAAGGGTCACAAGATGTTGACAGCCAATCACATAGAGCTATGCAAGCCCGACAGAGGATTGCCCTCAATTGGAAGCAGCAGTATAATGTTGGATAATAAGCGACCACACAGGACTAATATCTCTTCGCTGTACTTCCATACCGTTCATTCATCATGTGACAAACTCAGGTGGATGTTTATTAAAATGCCAGCAGCTGTGAGGCCACTGCTGCAGACGTATGTGCTACCTAACACACACATGCACACACGGATTCCACCGCTTAGTCCCTTTTTACATGAGAGGGGTTCAAAGGACCAGTTTGTAGGATTCAGTGGCATCTAGCAGTGAGAATACAGATTGCAACCGAAATCGCTCGCCTAAACCAAATGTGTAGGAGAAACTATGGTGGCTGCAAAACTCACGGAAAATGTGAAATACCACATCTAGAGCCAGTGTTTGGTATCTGTAGAAGAGGACCCGCTCCATTTAACAGATTTCCCCCAGGGCATCAATGAAGTATTTCTGATTCTGATCTGTAGATAACAACAGCTCATTCTAAGGTAACGAAAACACAACAATTCTTATTTTCTGTTGATTATACACGAATGTAAACATACCTATGAATATTATATTCCTTTTCTGCCATTAGATTCTCCTAAATATTACACACTTGACCTTTAAAGGTGTTAACTCTTAAATTATTACAGATCAAGAAAGTTGCATTTACAAAGTGTATGAGAGACACCAGACAGCTGGGAGTAAGAGACATAGAGACTTCCTGTATCATGTGTAGCAGAAGTGTGTGTAGCACTACAGAGCAACTGTCTGGCTTGAAATCCAAAGTTAATCCCGCCAACACTTCACCTGATAGATGGGCTTCATTATCCCTTCCTTCCTCAGGGAAAGGGGCTCCGAATGTTCCTCTCTTGATCTTTTCAGTCTCCTTTTATAGATCAATAACTAGCACCACACAATAGAACAATCAACTGAATCGAAGCCTTTAATTGTGTTGTTACCCTGAATTGTCAATAGATGGGAAATGACAGAAATTCTGGGATGCAACTTCATATTTTGACTAATTCCATTAACTGGAGCAGGAAATTATAGTTTTGGAGGAAGTCATTTGCAGCAAATATTGGTTTTTTTTATTGTTTACTCAGATTCAATTTTAAGCCCTTTGAATTGATTGAACTAGTTTTGCCAATTTGCCAATTTGCAGTAAATGTGTTTCATTATCTGACTGTAACCTTGTCGGCTAGGTTTGTGGAAATGCTGTCTTTTAATTGGCATAATTAAAAAGGAATAGAGGGGAAAGCCAGAGTGCGTCATGCGACGGTGACTCAACATGCACAATGTAAGGGAATGACGTTTGGATTTGCAGTGGGAAACATAGAAGCACCCAGTGCTGGATGCCAGCGCCACTCAGCATCAATACTGCATGCAGTAATGCTGGAAAGGCAAGTGCTCCAGACCATGAGGCACACAAGAGGGCTAAAATAAGACCCAACAGCCACTGAGCTTTACAGCTCGAATAAGCTCTTATGTGGGAAAAACAATTCTGCATTCATCATATTGAATCTGAGAAGAAAACTGGGTCAGATGGATAATAATACAGAGGGTTTGGGTCTGGAAAGTGAAACTACTCCCCGGTTAGCTATCCAAGGCAACTCTTTCCTTTATGCAAAATACTCAGTGCAAGACTGCTAAATTAAAAAAGAGAGAATTTGATTTGATGGCTCTTGATCCAATCTTCAATCTTTATACAAGGATACATCTCTTTCTTCAGTTACTGCAGTACTAATTCATTTATTCTTTCACTATTGACACTATACACATGCTGTGTAAGTTATACAGCACATCTATAATATATACTTTCTATGCACACATATAAATTTATAATGTGCTATGAATAATTTATGTTCACACATGTCATAAGCACAGGTGTCTGTGTATGTTAAGTGCATGTTCCCACCAACCTGTGCTGCTCTGGATGGTCCTGACAGTGGTGGTGGTGCGCGGGGGTGAGTTGGTCTTCCTGTTGCCCACTGTGATGCCTCTCTCCTCCTCTTCCTGCGAGCAGCCTTTCTCTATGGCACGTACGTAGCTGTGGCTCCGCATGCGGAAGCAGCCGGGCATGGGCAGGTCCAGGGCATCCACCGCCTGCGACTCCATCTCACTGAACACTGACTCACACACCGCCTCGATCTGCCCGTTCACCTCCACTTCGCTCACCTGTGGAGGAGGGTACACATGCAGACATACAGTATGTGCACGCAAACAAAAAACACACACACACACACACAGGTGTGCCCGAGCTCTGGAAAAATAAAAATGCACAGGCACACTCCAGCAGTGCAAGACAAAGGAGAATGGACAAAATAATACAGAAGCCAGGGAATCATGTCTTTGGGCTGCAAGATTAAGTGTTACAGAGCTATTCCACTGATTAAAGCTTCACTCGGCAGGAGTTTTATGTACAAAAACATTTAATCACGAATTGGGTGCTGAAATAGAAGAAATTGTTCCAGTGTTTCCATGATTTGAGGCAGCCAGATTCACCATACTTGCCAAAAATAAATTCTGTTGTTTGATATGGACCCTTCTCTGCTCACAGAGAAATAACAAATAACTGTGAAGTGTCTCATAAACAAGCTCTTACTGGCAAAAATGTATTTGACTCAAATCCATTAAGAAAAAGCTATCAAAATATGAATTGGCAGTACAACTATTTTCTCAGATTAGCAGTGCAATTTGGTCTTTGGTGAAGCATCAGCGACTAGTCAGCTCATTTTAAGCACATCGCATGTTTGTTCAAATGGGTCCAACCTTGACTTATTTTACCTTCACACTGCCTTGTGAAGCTTTAAGCCATATATGGAAATTTACATATAATAAAAAAAAATGGAAATATAGTTGAGAAAAATAAAGGAACTTTCAAGGAGTGACAAGGGGGAGGAATCACTGTAGGATAAAACTTCAAAGGGCTCTAGACAGAGTGAAATACTACAAGTGTTGTTGTTAAAGGTGAGAATTAGGAAGTGTCAAAGCTAGGACGACTGGGAGTTTAGATGTGGCTCGAGGAAAAACTACACCTGCATAATCAGCTAGTGAAGTTTGGGTTTCAAAACAGGGTCTAAAGCAAAAAAAATTGTAGAAATCTCTTGCTACAGACTTGTGAGATGGGTGTGTGTTACAGTTTGGGTTGTGTAAGGACAGCTATCACGGTGCTCCATTCCATTCCTTGAAGTTGCCATTGTTCAGTCCAAATTTAAAAAAGATGCAAGATGTTTGCGCATGGAGCAAGACATAGGAATGGGATGTGGCTAGGGACTAAAGCATTTGGTTTGGGTGACTGGCAGTGAAGAGATTGCAGGGTGTGAATATACACTGTAGAGCTTGGAGTCAGAAAGGTTTGTGGACCTCGATTCAATCCACTGATGTTGAGCCTTTTTTTGTGTGTGTCACTTCACACTCTCAGCACATACATGTCACATATGAGAGTGAGTGAGTGAGTGAGATAGAGAGCCTAGCAGCACCTCTTTTATTCTGTGGCATTTTTGTAGATGCCAGGTCCAGAGTGTCATTCTCCTCTGGGCCTGCTCCATACTAGGACTTGAAGGGATGTCTCAAAGGTCCATCATTCAGCCAGTGAGGCCAACTGTTGCCCCTGGGCTTTAGAAGGAAGTACATTATCCTTGTTACCCCAGGCAAAAATGTAAGCTAATCTCCCCCGTCACTCCAAATAATGTAGAGTACGAAGCCATGCTCAAAATCCAACAGGACAAATATCTTATTTTGTGGCAGCCATGATAATAACAGACCTCCACTGTTGAGTATTTCCTATCAGTTTGTTCAATATTCGTTTGTGTCAATATGTTCAATAACTATCAAATCAAGGCAAATGCCCATCATAATTTGGAGCCAATCCCAATTATTCATCACATTCGTATGGCTGCATGTTAATTCTTGTTTTCCATCTCTTATATAACAGATGCCAAATTGAAGAGAACATTTTTAGCCTGTCATTTTGCTTCACAAAGTATGCCGAGGCAGAAGGAGCATATTAGGGTAAAGGAGGGGAGTGTGTGTGTGTGTGTGTGTGTGTGTGTGTGTGTGTGTGTGTGTGTGTGTGTGTGTGTGTGTGTGTGTGTGTGTGTGTGTGTGTGTGCGTGTGTGTTTAATTAGCCAATCTGAATACGCCTGTAATCATCTGAGCTCCAGAAAACAGCACGCAGACGTATACACTAATTGGGAGATTGGGGGTTTTCGTACTGTTCATACTTTGCCGGATGGTGACCTGATTGTTAACTCAGGCCTTAGGACGGCTATGAATGGGATTTCCTCCCCCCTGCACGACCTTATTGGACATAGCAGTGGAGGTACAGGGGGCGTAAGGCCGACGGCAGAGAGGCATGGGCCCTCGGTGCCACTAACCTGGCTGATGGTGCTCATGGCTCTCATGTAGCTCTCGTTTCGCGAGCGGAATTTAGGCGAGGCCAGCAGCCCTGCCGGGTCCAAGCTGTCCAGACTCCTATTGATGGAAACCTCACTCACCGCCCGCAGATAGCTGTGACTCCGGATCTGTAGCTTGGGCGAATGCTCTGTGGAAATCCTGCCACAAGAAGGAAGGAAAGAGAAAAAAATACGAAGGACAAAAAAGAAAAAGAAAAAAGACAAAGCAGAGAAAAGGGAGCTTGGTAAAAATTTAGAAACAAAGCGAGATGGAGGCAGAAAAAGAGCAGGGGAAGTGATGAAAAGAGAGTGAGAGAAGGTATTTGCAAAGTACTTGGCAGGGCGTATGAACCCAAAGATACGGATCAATCCACAATTGCTTCAGGAGACACTCTTATCTAATCAACAAGCACAGTGGTATTGAGAAACACTTGCAGTAGCTTAGGTAGTCTGTCCTTGAAACACCTTGTAAGCACTTTCTAAAACGCTTAACGGTGAGAACACACATACATATGTAAGACAAGGGAAGAGGAACTGTGTGTGTGTGTGTGTGTGTGTGTGTGTGTGTGTGTATCTGTGAGGTACAGTATGTTTAACTAAAATAGAACATATATATATATATAATCAACACACATGCACAAACACACCCTGTCTCCAAGGAAGATGAATAGGTGTCTCATTAGCTCTCACCTGCCTCCAATCCATTTTGCTCAGCATGCTTCACGCCTATGTGTGTGTGTGTGTTTTTTTGAATACATGTGAAAAAGCGTGTGTGTAGGTTACGCAGCAGTTGGATGTCGGCTAAACAATTCATTAATCAGGGGAAATAAAACCTAAAAAGCTGACTCGCTTTCTTCTTGATGAACATTGTGGCCTACTAAACCAACTTGCAGAAAACAAAGTGCACAGAGAGAAATGAATACATCTCAGATTAGAAAGTCTAATCCAAAACAGACACACACAGACACATACTGTACACATATACACACAACTGTTATGACTCTCTGCCTCCAGGTCAGATCTGCTTTAATTATGTATTTCCTCCTTAAAATAGAGCGTGGTTACCACAGCAAAGCAAACTAGATTACTCACTCTTGAATGGAAGAATGGAGGGGGAGAGGACAGTAGAGAGAACCACGGTAATGAAAGGACAGATGAGCTGAGGAGATGATTTTGGAAGAACAGTTGCTAATTTTAAATACAATACATCTCCATGTAGCCACACTGTCTTCTAGGCCTTTTAATATTGAGCAGACGCTACTGTATCAAAGCTCTCAACAGTTACTTACGCTTGCCAGTTTATCAACACACTTCATTCTTTTTTAATTTGAGGTTTCCCATTGAGGTGTTCTGTAGTAGCAATGTGATTTTAATGCATATTTAAACCAGTGTTTCTCTGTCTGTGAGGTTGTCAGGCAATAGCGGGATGTGATTTGTTGTCACAGATTCATAGACAACGTAAAACTTGCTTTTTTGTGTGCTTTGTCTTGACACCACAGCCATACAAGTTGGTTATGAAAGTGGTCCCAAACCACTGATTTACCCCTCTCCCATATGAAGCCCCAGAAGTGACACAAAGGTGTAATAAGCTGTCCAATAATTCAAAAGCAGTGCTGAAACAATGAGTCAATTATTTGATTAGTTGATCGACAGTAATTTAATCGGGTGCAATATTTTAGAAAAATAAGCAAATTAGACAACTTGGCTTTGGGAAACTGTGATTTTTCACTCTTTTCTGACATTTAATCAAGCAGGTAATCATAAAATGAATCTATAATTGTGTTGGTCCGTTATATGTCTCCTCCTCCTTGGACTGAAAGAGTTGTTTACTGGTTGCTGCATAAAGATATTTTAATATAGATAATTTTTTACATTTTTGCTTGCTGTAGTCATTCAGAGAGAATTTCTTCCTTTCCTCACTTTGAAAATTCTCACGGAATTTGTCTAAATCAGACTGCTAAAGCCTCATAATCTCCAGATAAACCTTTGAAATTATTTTTGCATGAGGCCTGTGGACTTATTCCCCCATCACTTACATTAGAAGCATGTTAGGAATGGATCTCTTAATAGCCAGTATGAACAGGATGAATGATTACAGCAACCGGTTTCAATGGTCATATCAGAACCCAATTACTGTTTTAAGATGGACTTGAAAAATTGTGAACCTTTCCTTTAAATTTACTACTCTGTTTTTTTATTTTAATTGTTTTTATTATTTTTTGTATTAACTGTTTAGCGATTCCCTACATTACTATGCAACATCTCCCATTTTTCTCACAATATTTCCATTTCTTTCTGGGGAGGAATTCTGCAAATTCTCCCACTTGATAATAGAAATGAGAAGGTGCATCATTCAACCCAAGAAAGAATCAAAAATGTACATCCCAAACCTCAGAGGTTGGTATGAATCATCCCTGTCAGCTACCTGGAGTCTGTGACTGTGGAGGATGCACAGAGGAATCAAGTCAAGGGAGAATCTACCAACACCATTATCCCTCTCCACATCTGCTCTTGATTTCCCTGTGGGGCTGATTATAGGCAGAATCAATGATGTCTTTTGTGGCAACTTGAATGGCAGACCTAGCATGTAATCAGTACCACCTAAGGGGGGGAAGTTCAGCCTTTCCCAGGGTGTCCCTCTATGGAACAAGTGACATTAATGAACACATGTTCCCCTCTGCCAGTCAAGAATCAGGGCTGGCTAAGGCTCGCTCTGTTGATTTCTACTGTATTACGGAGTGATCTTGTAATCCTGGATCAGTTTTTTTCTCTTCTTCTCCATCAAATCACTTTGTCTCCTTGTTTGCTTAACCTTGTCTTTCCTGTCAGTCGGTTCAGCCCTGAAGTTTCTCTGGCCATCTTCCCTATCCTCCATTTCCTTTTACCTTCTCCTCTTTCCCCTCCTCTTAGTCACTGTCTATATACAGGTCTGATGACTATGGTTGTAGGATGCAAGGACAAATATACAGAGATGTGATTACTGCAACCTATTATTCAGGATGTCTGTTCTGGCTGAGACAAAAAAATAAACACGATAAAATCTGGGCCAGGAATAAATGAATTTGTGGCTAAAAGAAAGACGACTGTTAGTGACCGAGGGAAACAAGAAAGGATGTTTTTTTCTCCTGAGCTTCTTTGTCTGTCGGGAATATTTCCATTAATTTAAACGCATGTTTTGTCTGTGTGCTATGTGTTTTAATAAGGTTAGCATTGGGTGAGAGTAAACAAATCCCAACTTCTCAGGAGCAATTCATCACTAGTCAAGGACACAGTGGTCACAGGATGGGCTCTGAGACATATGGAAGAACAAAGCTGATTATTTAATCATTGCAGAGTGTAACGCAGGCTTGTGCCAGCTCCCACAAGCACAGTGTGAAAACAAGACGTCAGCTGCTCCCGCCTCATTCTCTATCTCCAATGTGCAGCACTGCAGCTTGGTTTGTTCCACTGGGTTCCATCAGATGATGATGGCGTTCCCCGGGCCAAATTCAAGTCATTAGTGGGCCCCAAGCTGCGCCACTTGCACTTACATAAGGGTGTGTGTGTGTGTGCTTGTGTTTGTGCAACCAGTAACAGTGACTGAGCACCCACTGGTGTTCTTCTCATCTCTGTATATTACACAGCTAATCAGTCACAGCCCCGTGCTGCTACATAAGATTTGTGTCCCCAATTCTTTCACTGTTTCAAGGCAGTAGGATAGAAAATATTTTCACTGGATATGACTTCCTATTATATTAAGCGAGGTCATGAGTGGAAAATGGTAGGAGGACATAATGTCATTATGATCAATTAATGGAAATTTCTGCCTTATTACAACTATTTGTAACATTGTACTCATTAAAGTAAGAAGAAAGAAACATGGCGCAACATTACAATTAAGTCAGTGGAGCAAGACACATGAGCAGTTAGACAGGTTGTAAACAAGCTGACAGTTTAGCTAGACTATCTAATATTTTTTCTCCTTCAAATAAGTGGCTAACCTAAGTGCCCGAACTTTTTTGGCAGTGTTGCAGCATTCCCAAATGTCAGTAATGAACTTATTCAATACAATGTTAACATTAGTCATTGGAATATGTGTAATGGGAAGAAAATACAAAAATATGAAATAAAATTTCCAATTTATTTATTATGGTTTACATTGTTTTTCTCCAAATTTTTAATTCTTAAAAACTGTCCCTTTAGAAATAGATATGAAGTGAGAAAAATTTGAGCTGAGCTTCAGTCCAGTATGTCATATTTAGGAGGATCTATTGGCAGAAATGGAATGTAATTTGCTAAACTTTAAGTTAACTTGTGTCTTTACCTAACTGTGGACAATACTGTCAGCTTGATGTGTTTCAAGACTTTGCTAAGTCAGAAATGTTCTTGATGGAGTCTAATATTACTGAATACTTTATGAGCTCACGCTGTGAAAAATATGCTGCTGAGCAGAGAATGCCTAATATGCAACATGAAACAGCTTCATCAAAATCAAATGATGAAGCTCAGCTTTTAACCTCAGATCTTTCAGAAAGAATTGCTCTGAGGGAGAAAAAAAAATCTGTCCCATGTTTTCGACCCACAATGCATTTCTTGAGAACATGGCATTTATTTTTGAAGAGACTTCAGTACATGAACAGGCATCATGTATTTTCAATTAAGGCTCAGTCTGTTCAGTGTGTGTGTGTGTGTGTGTGTGTGTGTGTGTGTGTGTGTGTGTGTGTGTGTGTGTGTGTGTGAGATTGTGGAGATACAGAGGCCAGCTATGAAGACAGAAGTGTGTGTCTGAGCTGTAAACACAGAACAGGTAATTAAGCTGTGGCCACTGAGAGTCAGGGACTCGCACATAAGCCAGACTGCTACCGGGCAGGCACTTGAGTAACAACTGACTGCCTTATCTCTGAAACTGCAGAGTATGTGAACACTTGAACATTCTGTTCAAAACATGTACCGTATACACATTCATAAACATAATATACAGGCAGGCATATAGTTACACCACACATGAACACAATCAATACATCAAAACTGATGTGATTAGTCAATTAAGCAATTAGGTAGATGGTTGATTCGTTGGGGGAAAAAGTAATTTTAGGACATTAATGGACATATAGATGTTGTTTGTATAATATATTGTTTGTATATCTGGAGCTTTGTAATAAAAATAATTATTAAAGTATTTCTGAATCTGATTCTGATTCTGATCTGATTAACTTGGGCTCTGGGAAATTGTGAAAGGGTTTTTTGGGTTTCTAACGAATCGATTTAAAAAAAAATATTTAACAGAATAATTGATAGTGCAAATAATTGTTTCAGCCCTAACACACGCTTACTTGAGTGTGGTCATCTCTGTGAGGGACGGTTGTGTGGCCTTCAGGTAGCTGGCTCGTCGTGCCTGGACCTTGGGCGAGGGTTTGGGGCTGCAGTCTGAGTCGCCGCTGTCTTCTTCTGCCATGGCCTTGATGTAGCTGCCACTCCGCATCCGCCGGCACGGGATCTCATCATCCTTCCCCAGCGGAGAGAAACCACTCCAGTCATCCTGAGGCACCTGTAGACATGCGATGAAATAAGGTAAAAGAGGGAGCAAACACAGGTCACCCTCCAGACATGAGAGCTCATACACATTCAAAAGCAAGGGTGCAACATTTTCTACCCTGGCTTGATATAAATACATGTATCACATAGTGTACTTCATGCCTTAAAAAAAAAAAATAAATCAATGGTAACAGTATCAATGCAGGGTCAGCCTTGATCATACCATATGCTTGTGTTGTCTGTCCTGTGTTGCATGCGGCATAATAAATGCAGGGAATTAATTGTTTTGACACAACGCTGCAGTATCCTGGCCTGTGCCTGCTCTCCTGACTTTTCACACTCTAATAAAGGTAAAAATAAAAGAAGGTAAAGCTATCTCCCAGCCCTAATCTAAAAGAGAGAGAGTCAAAGGCAGCAGACATGGAGAGAGAGGGAAAACAAAGGGGGTTTTGTTCAGCAGAACCACTAGAGTCCCAATGTGAGTGGCTGTTAGGGCACCAGCGCTGAAGTGAAAGAAATGAGATACAGAGCGAGAAAAAAGTGCACGAGAATCATTCAACAGACTTGTGCGTAACTAGGAAACCAAACTCACTTTGATGTCAGGGGCAACTACAGACTGTGCTAACATTTTGGGAAAGACCGGGACTGGAATGACGTCAAAAGAATTGATTGTTATAGAGAGAGAGCCATAAAAAAACCTAAATGAAGTAATGCTTTTTAATCCTATTACCCTCACAATGTAGCGCAGCGTATTTAATATATTCTAACCTGTGCATGAAAAGGTTAGGTACTAATTTAAGTGTGTGCATGCGTGTACATTAAACAATAACAGGTTACAGGATCTCATCCCAGTAGGTGAATCACGTGAACTTCTTGTTATAAAGATTTAAACAATTATGTGCAGACTAACTTGTCCGGCTGCTCTCCTTTAAGATGTGTTTTTCCCTGTCTCTCTTCCTAGAAAAAAACAATGGTTCTTTTATGCTGGGAAAAATGTTGCCGTACTGCAGCGACAACATCCTTCCTTGATCTGCTCACTCTGTTTTTCAGGCTGTTAAAATGCATGGCCACACAGAACTTTCTATGTCTTTTATGCTCCCTCACTCTCACTTTCTGCCTTTTACTTTCTCATTCACACCCTCCTCTTTTGGCCTTAGTTGCTGTCGTTTGATCCTTTTCCTACAGTACACACACATATACACACCCTCCCCTCTATTCTCACTGCCTTGTCTCTCCATGTCTCTCCTCAGGCTTATATTTGCAGCTCACCCCGATGTAATGTATGCAATATGAAACACTTTTATCTTTTGCAAAACAGTGACTGAGCACCCACTGATGTGTCTGCATGTGTGTTTGACCACTTATTTTAGGGACTAGAGCATTTTTTTCCTTTCATTTCTTTGTCTGCTCACCTCTGGTTCTCTATGATCTCATAGTAGTACCCTACTGTCACACCGTGAATAAGACATACACACTCTCACTCACACACGCCAACACTGCTATGACCACGTACACTCTCAGCAGCTTCATAAATGTAGTTTCATGTGACAATTTGCCCTTTGTGCTCTGAAAACCGATTGATCACAGATGATTTTTGATTCTGGACTTATTTCCTGTGCTTGTACAATGTAAAAAAGGTTTCAGGGTACATGAACCTCATTTCTCTAGTAGAGTAAATGTGAAGGCTAAGTACACTATCTGATGATATATGACATACTATACAGTACAGAGGTGACGTCATAAACATCCACATGCTCACAAACAAACACAGAGGAGCAGATGACGTGATGATTTTGATTAAGATGATACCTCGGATAAAGTCAACACAAGACCAATAATTATTTGAGACACAGAATGATGAAGGATGGGGTCTGGGCCACTGCTTCCCCAGTCATCCACTCTACAGTGCACACACAAACAAACAAACACATATACATGCAGAAATTCAGAAGCATGGAGGAGCAGCTGGCACCGCAGGATGCATGAAGTATGACATGCGAGAGGTGGGGCTGTTGTAACAGTCCTACCTGTAGGAAGTGGCAGGTGCGTCCCTGCTCGGCTTTCACTAGAGCTTTATCTAGGTTGACTGAGGCCTTCTGGTAAACCTCTCTTGCTCTGCTCACCGTCAGAGTAGAAGACCATGAGCTCTTCTTCAGCTGCACTTGGCCATCCAGGGCACCCCCCAGTGGCATAACTCCACTGCTGCCCCCAGAACACGTCGAACACTTCACATCGTTGTTGCTGCGTGACGTCTTGAGAGAGTGGGCGCTGATGGTGTTGTAGGACTCCATGAAGTACTGGGACTGGGATTTGTCCGGGTGGCGACCCATGGTCATGACCCCAGAGGGTAGGCCTCCACTGCTACCCCCGTGGTGATGGTGATAGAGGCACACCTCCCGGTCGAGTGTATCGTCTGAGCTCCAGTAGCCTGAGATGGCAGTGCGCATCTTAGGCTCTGACTTGGAACGGTCTTTACTCTTACTGCGCTTACTATGCTTCAAAGTGCCAGAAGAGGAGGGTGGGTCATCAGGACTGGATTTGCTGCCATTCATCCTCCCACTACCTCCTCCAGCAGACCCCGAGGGCCCCTCCAGGGAATGGGACTTTGTGAAAAGCTTCTGGACAGAGTGAACAAGGTGGCGGATTCGACCAGGGCTGTCACTACGTTGGTGTTCTACCGCAGCGCGCTTGTACTGCAGTGTGTGGTAGCCTTCACGTCGTACCGGTGCCTGGCGCTCAAACTGCTCTAGCAGGTTAGAAGGGATGCGATTATTGTTTCCACCACCTCCTCCACTTCCCTTACTGCTCCCTGTTGGACCTGTATAAGGCACCACAGCACCACACTCCTCCTTCAGCTCATGGTGAGAGCTGTAATGTCTGCGCGGGAAGGTGCAGCTGGCCAGATCAGGGTAGGCACTACACTCAGACTGGAAGGAGTTGCGCTGTGTGTAGCAGGGGTGGTCAGCAGGATGAGACTCCCCAGGGTTGAGGAAGTAGGACCGACGATCCGAGTGCCCAAGGGTCATAGAGTCATAAGAGGGGTCGCAGGTCACCGTGTGGTGGTGACTACGACTGCTGGACAGACCTTTCATTGTCATCGTGGCTGGGTTGAAGTGCACATCCAACTGCTGCCACAGGAAGTTTGCACAGGCCCCAAAACTAGCTCTATAAAGAAACACACAGCCATAAGGAAGAACAAACAAACAAACAAGAAGAGAGAGACAGAAAAGAGAATTATAAATATCTCATTTTTGCATACACCCAAAGCACAGTGTAGTGTCTGCATGTGCTTTGATTTGAAGAAGATGCTTTTTGGCATTCCTTCACAGATGAGAAAACTTGATGATGTTGACAGGACTTGGACCTATTCTTTTATTTTTGTCCTTCATAACTTCAGAAGGACAATCTCTAAATATAGCAGCCATTTGGCATGTGGTCCCTGACATCGAAATCTGTCCTCAAGCTTCCTCTTCCATTTCTCTGTTCGCTCTGGTAGATTTCAGTGAAAAAGTGACAGGGGATCGAGGAAACAAAGAAAAAACAAAGGTAGAAGAGGTATCAAGATGAGTTCAAATCTATTTCCAGCTCAAGTGTGTGCTATATTTGTTCAAGGGTGCTGTTAGAAATGAAGTATCAGTGTAGGAAATGGGATGTGATTGGAATGCAAAGACATAGGCATCCTCCGCAAAGAGTGTTAACCCCCCCTATGATTTAACAGATCATATAACAGATTGGGTAGTACTCAAAAAGTGCATTTGCTTTACAGTACACCTTTTTAGTGTGCAAGCATGCACCCGCCCCACCCACAAACACAACAAATGATAAGAGCCTGATCCTACACTTTCCCTCTATACCTCTAGTTCTCCTCTACAGGCAAACTAATTGGCCAGTAAAATCCAGCTGACAGCTTCTGGGCTGGTTGAGGCATGCTGCAATAAACGACCTTTCCCTTACATGGTGACATGAAAACAATGGCATCCATCAGCGCCCTTAAACTGCCTTCCTTACCCATCTGGGGTTGCGGCTGGCTAGCCACTGAACCCACACTGTTTCCAATGGACTGGAGGTGAAGCTAACGACACAATAATAAGAGCCCACGCACCCTTGTGTAGCACTGTGGCCGAGTCTGCGCGTGGAATTCATTACTACGATTTATAATGCACTACCAAAGGCCACAGTAAATAAGAAAAATTAAAAAATGATTACTGGGGAGAGGAAACAAAGGGAGGAAACGAGGGAGACAGAGCAGCAGAATGAAACATCATGTCAGTTCTTTTCTTAACTGGAGGACACTGTGTAGGGCACAGGCAGGATGTATTTATGTGCATATAGACTGAGTCAGATTTATTATTTTCTTTGACATGGCTGTAAACCGGGTGCTGGATTAATTGAAAAATTGGGGTAAATTATTCATGTAGTTTCCTTTCTGTACTAAACCAGGGGCTCAAATCACTCTGAGAGAGAATTAAGCCAATATATTACCCTTGTATTGTTAGAGTGAAAATGAAAAAACAGAGTGGTCAATCCCCACAGCCATCTGCAATACTCACAAGAGTAAACTCACACAAAGCGTGCACTACATATGACACAGACACGCACAGTGTCCGCTTCTTGCAGGGCACTTAAAAAGTGGGCTGTGTCCAACTAAAGGTATTCATTGCAGTTGACAGAGATCCCTTCTGTTGGCCGCTGAAGCACAGAATGTGACCTAAATAAAAGGCCCTCGCGGTGATCCACAGCAGCGTGTTTGTGGCACAGCTGTCTGCAGCACTGCACTAAAGCTGAAAAGCTGAAGTTGGGTCATCCTGGCTTTCTGCCTGCTAGCCACGCATAAACACATAAACACACACACACACACACACACACACACACACACACACACACACACACACAAATACATAGTGTATCTGACAGGCTGCATATCCATGCTGAATTTTGATGCTGCTAGCTTGTAAAGTGCAGTTTATATTGAAGAGGAAGAGGTTCCGATAGTTCTGTCAGTCAGGTATGGCTTACAGTGACATGAGAAAGCTCATAGACAGTTGTAATTATGTATTATGCTGTGTGTCTATTGTAGCTGACTGACCCAGTTGTGTCTCTACCTGTCTGGTCAATCTAACCTCAATATAGCACACCAACACTCTGAAATAGTAATAAAATATTTCATTCAAGATACCGAAGTAATGATTTCGGGGTTGTAATTAGTCTTTCCATGTATGTTGCTAATTTGGCTGTTCGCTAAGCAACAGCTCTCTTTAGTTGAAACAATGGATCCCCGATTTCAGACTGTTGTAGACAAAAGCATGCTTCTCATTTTGATCTGGTAACTGTCAATCATGCTGGTATTGGCTGTGAAAAAGCAGTTGGAACTTCTATAAGGAAAACTATAAAATCAGACCATTTAGTTTGAATTGTTTGCCTTTATTTGACAGGAGCAGCAGAAGATTGACAGGAAAGGTGGCGGGCTGACTCCCAGCAAAGGGCCACAGGTCAAACTCACACCAATATCAAACCCATGGCTGCTGCAGCAAGGAATAGGCCTTGGTAGATGGGACACCAGTTCTACCAGGTGAGCTACCTTTGAACAACAACTATTTAAAATGGTGGAAAATGTAACCCTGTTGGACAATTGCAGTTTGTGGTAGGGATTTAGCTAACGGTCAATTGTCACCATGGAGATTTGTCTTGAGGCACACCAGCATTGCCATGAACTATGGCGATTAAAAACCCTGTTTCTACAACACAAAACCAACAAGCAAACAAACAACTTGCTCCTTTTACTTTGTCTGAATTGGCCCTTAAAACCAAGGAGACTTCATTACATTTAAAGGGATTGTGTGCTGAACAGCAAGGTGTGCAAACAAAATGCATTAGTAGATAAACCAAGTCAGGCTATGAATGTTAATGCCCATTAGCACCCGCACTGCATGAGCACAGTGGGCTAAATTCTAGTTAGATGCCATGCTTCTTTGGGCTCAGATGAGATAAATGGAAAATAGATTTTTCCTTCTCGATCATCTAACACAGTAGCTAATCTTGGATACAGCCTCACACTGGTCAAATCCACTCACCACACAATTTTCTTTATGTCACCCTAAGATCTGAGACACACCAAAGCAAATAAACAAAGGTGGTATGAAAATGCAAAGTAACATCGACTGACTGCATAGCTACCATCTTTGTAGGAAGCAGTGAAATCAATATGCCTTAGTGTGAGAAGAATGCTGCGGCTTCTCTTGCTGGCAAAATAAAAGGCTGCTGTACAGATTGCAGTTAGTGTATCTTCCTCAAATCGACATCAAACATTGGTTGCAAGATGGAGCTCAGGGCTTACACAGTTTCTTTGAGGCCACAAGGCTACAAAAGGTCTCTTCTTCTCTCTCGAACCTGGCAATGATTTCTCCAAAGGTTGAAAACATTACCAGTCTCCTCTCCACAGGGGATCAAATCACCTCAGTGGATGTGGCTCATCTTATGTGTGTGCATGTGTCTGTATGTTTGTGTGGAAGAAGAAGAAAGAGTATAGCACTTTACCTCTATTTTTCAGGTCAAGTGAAGTTTTGCCTTTGATCCTGTAAATGTTTGCAGTCCCTGCCTACTGCATGATATTACTGCACAGGCTGGATATGAATAAGGGTGAAGATTTTGTGAACACACAAATATGTGTATTTCTCCATGGGTTTCTATGTGTGAGATAGAAAGAGGATGGCAATAGGCCTTTGCCCATGTGATTGTTTACTGCATTGTACCTGCACTTGGATAGAGTGACCAAGTAGGGTGCCTGGAAAACAAAAGTGTGGAAAACAGTGTACTCCTGCATGCTCAACTATTATTCAGAATTGAATGTTTCACTGTGAAAACACAAAAAGGCAAATGTCTTGACCTGCACTAAAGGCAGGCTGCATTTCTTGCATACTTGATTGATGTGGCCTACTTTCCACTTTAACATGCTGAATGGTAAAGGTTATACTGTACACTGTGTTCTCATATTTTTCACGGGATATATGCATGCAAAAATCTTATTTTAGGAGTCTATTTCCCTCTTTCTGGGTTAATAAGAACTGAAAACTTGAACTGGGATGTCCATTTACTCATTTACTTAATCTCTTGGTGGTATGTAACCATGTAGTTGGTTTTATTTTCTCAACAACGTGCCAGTTATTTGTCCAAAATAGTTTCACAGACCTTGCTGAAGTAAGTTTTTTTTTTTAAAAAGAAACTAATGAAACTAAACTAAATTCAATTTATGTCTGCTTTAATGGGGTTACAGCAGAAGTCTCAATGATAGATATCTCAAAACTATCTCAAATAAACCCAGAAGTATCTGCATGATGAAATACCCGCCAACATGTTTTATGCTCTTGGTATTTAAAAAAAACAAACAAGATTAGTCGATATAGCAGATTTTTTGTGACATAAAATAATTTGTAAATGCTCTACCTTGCTGCAGACAGAGATAAATACACATACACACATATATTCAGTCATTCTGTGAAGCCACTTTAACAGACCCACTCACAGCAACTTAAACAAAACTCCCCCGTATTTATTAATATTTCATTACATGAATATTTGACGGTTTAATATGTTAAAATGAAACACACAAACACACACACACACACACACACACACACACACACACACACACACACACACACACACACACACACACACACGGAGACCTGCAGCTGGCAGAGAAGTAGTAACACAGACCGGGGATGTTCTCATTGTGAATGTGTGAACAGTGCCTTTAAAAAAAAAAATATCCCCCAGAGAATGATGTCGTAGAACATTTTAAAGACAGCCAGGGGGCAAAAAGCCGTTGAGGGAACTGGTAATTTTTGTGTCTCTGGATTATGTAAAATGGCTTTTAGGGATGTCAGGAGAGGCTGAGAAGCACTAACTTTAATGTCTTACTGTTAAAATGACTCTTAAATGATAGATGACGGTCTCCGTTGACTGTCCTGTCTGGCTGCAGCATTTTGAAGAAAAACAGCAAATTATTGCTTCTGGTTTATATGATGTGCTTCATAAAGTGAATGTCTACAAAAGGAATATATGATAAAAGTCCTGCCTGTGTTGGAGAGTGAATATGTCTCTCCTGAAACTATTTTATTTCTATCAATTTCCTATTTTTATAGGTTTTTCAAAGGTGTTTAAAATTT